GAGATCTTCTAGTCCAAGCCATTTATAATCCAAGAGGGGAAATCAAATACACGGCAGAGTTCGAAGGCAGACATCGAATAAAGTTAATGCTTAGTTAAAAGTTAATAAATTGCATTTCGTAAAGACCACATTCCCAAAACAATCCCGGAGGTACGTAATAGTATTTCCTCCTGGCAGCATTTCATGGCTGTAAGGGATGGATGCTGTAGTCCTCAAACACCTGGAACTGCCCGGCTGTAAAAAAAAAAAGGCAGTAAGGCCAAATTACAGAGGCTACAGGAAGCTGCTCTGGCTAGTCTGTTCCCCTGATACTCCACTAGGGGGCATTCAGGATTACACTACTACAGTTGGGTATTTGGCGGAATTAAAGAATTAAAGCAAGAGTCTTCAAACTTGGCCGGTTTAAGACTTGTGGACTTCAACTCCCAGGATTCTTGAGCTAACATGACCGGAGGAGGAATTCTGGGAGTGGAAGTCCACAAGTCTTAAAGCTGCCAAGTTTGAAGACTCCTGCTCTACAGTATCTATCTTCTATCTCCATCCATCCCTATATCTATCTATCTATCTATCTATCTATCTATCTATCTATCTATCTATCTATCTATCTATCTATCCATCCATCCATCCATCCATCCATCCATCTATCTATCTATCTATCTATCTATCTATATCTATCTAATCCAAGGATCTTCAAACTTGGCAAGTTTAAGACTTATGGACTTCAACTCCCAGGATTCCTGAGCTAACATGACTGGAGGAGGAATTCTGGGAGTTGAAGTCCACAAGTCTTAAAGCTGTCGAGTTTGAAGAGCCCTGATCTACAGTGTCTATCTTCTATCTCCATATCTCTCTATTCTGTCTGTCTGTCTCTATCTATTCCAAGGGTCTCCCATCATGGCAAGTTTAAGAGTGTGGACTTCAACTCCCAGGATTCCTGAGCTAACCTGACTGGAGGCAGGAATTCTGGGAGTGGAAGTCCACAACTCTTAAAGTTGTCAAGTTTGAAGACCCCTGAATTAAAAGATTTAGCTAGACTCACAATATTTTTTCCCCACTTCCCTGCCACACACCCGCTTGGTTTACAACTTGAGCGAAAGGTAGTAGTAACTATGGAGCAGAAAAGATCCCCCACACAATCACGTGATCAAAGTTCAGACGCCTGGCAACTGGTTCATACTTATGACGGTCATAGCGCCCTAGGGTCATTGATCAATTTTGGTGTAGGGGGGGGCATCTTCGGACCGGCAAAGTCCAAGGGGAAAGCCTGGTTCACTTAACAACCAAATAACTGACCAACTGCAGTGATTTGCTTAACAACCGCGGAAAGGAAGGTCGTAAAACGGGGCAAAAGAGTCGTAACAATTCTGACTTCACATACATTTTGGGCTCCATCAGGATTGTACTTTGACAAGCAAAATCAATGGGGAAGCCAGATTGACTTAACCACTGTGTTACTAACTTAACTACGGCAGTGATTCGCTTAACAACAGTGGCCAGAAAAGTCGTAAAACGGAGGAAGACTCACTTAAGAACCGTCTGGCTTAGCAATGGAAATTTTGGGCTCGATTGAAGTTGCAAGCCAAGGACTACCATACCTGCATGAGGATCGCCTTGTAGAATTTTAACTACCGTGGCCCCCCCCAAAATAAGATCCTGTCTTATATTTTTTTGGCCACCAAAAAAGGCACCAGGTCTTATTTTCAGGGGACGTCATCTACTGACTAACCTCACTTGCGCACGTCGTTCCTGGCCTCCTTTTCGCTGTCAAGAGGCCTTCAGGAACCTCTTCTATGGCCGGCAAGGCTTTCCTGAAGGCCTCTGCAGCTGATAATGGAGCTTTGGATCGATCCAGAGCTTTGTTCTCCGCTCCAGAGGCCTTCAGGGAAGCCTTGCCGGTGGCAGGAGAAATGGGCTGGCAAGGCAGGTGTTGGGGATGCGCGAGGCCTGGCTACAACTGTCCAAAGGGAAGTAGTCGGGCAGCTCTACACCCCTTATCCCCCACCCTGGCTTAATTTTTACTCCTCCACTCTGGAGTGTGTGGGACCTTAATTAGGGCTTATTTTAGGGGTAGGGCTTATATCGGGTGCATGTGCAAAAAAATCGAACTAGGACTTACTTTCAGGGGAGGTTGTATTTTCGGGGAAATAGGGTATCCCTGCCAAAACGATACCCTTCCCTTTCCTGCAATACCACCTCAGCAGCAACAGAGCTGGCACGGGGCAGGACACCATGGCCAAGGGAGAGGATTAAGTCGGATTCCTTGCATAAAAAGGGGGCCATTAACCGAGTCAAGAGAATCCCAGAGTAAAGGTAGAATTGCGTTCTCCACCCAGCTCTCCAGACTAGTTCCCCCCAAACACACACATACACACACACCCTGCAGGCTTCGGCCGTGACCCACAATAAACCAATTCAACTGCCGGCAGCAGAGCTGGAATTTCAATTTTATGCACCGATCAGTCATTCAAGCTGGTCGGGTACATTAAAAAAAAAACAAATTAGAAGACTTTATAGGAAGGCTTTTTCTACAAACGGTCAGCAGTTCGAACAAAGGAGCCCCGTTTTAAATTCGGAGCAGTCAAAGGGAAAAAAGGCAACGCAGACTGGTTACTGCTAGTCCTCGGCTTTACGGCCACAATTGAGCCGACGTTTATATGACTTTTATCAGCGTTGAGTCAAGGACTAGCTGTAAGCTGAGCAATTGGAAAAGCACCCGTAGCATGCCGTTACCTGTTCAGGAAAGCTTTTGAAATTCCTTCACTGGGGCGTGAGGGGTGCTCAGCTGCAGAACCTTACAGGAAATAATGGGATAAGAGTTGGAAGGGACCCTGGAGGTCATCCAGTCCAACCCCCTGCCCAGGCAGGAGAACCTGTATCATTTCAGTGAAACGGGTGTCCGATTTATTCTTAAAAACCTCCCGTGTTGGAGCACCCACAACTTCTGGTGGCAAGTAGTTCCACTGATTAATTAGCCTCACTGTTAGTATATACTATACTATATATATTGGAAGGGACCTTGGAGGTATTCTCTTCTTTGTAGCAATTCAGTTTTTAGTTGCATTACAATCAATTTAGTTTTATTGGCAATTAATTGCAATTAGTTGCATTCAGACACGGTTATAGCTTCTCTTGCAGAGAGAGACATAGTAAATCAGACTTACACAGAAATGTACCAATGACTTTGAAATTAAGAGGAATGCCCTTTTGTGGGGGAAAATGCAAGGCTTGGGCCTCTCTTTTTGTTTAATAAAAATACTTTATTGAACATATTTACACAATTACACTAAAAGAAAACATTCCGCTTATTGCAACGTCAGCAAGACAGCATTCACTCAATTTGACATCTCTCAAAGTTATGTAGAATGCACCATCATTCACACTTATTACACTGGTATGTGACACAAATTGTCATCCAGTTGATATATTACAAACGCATACCTAATTGCAAGGAATATTATTAACTTCCATTATACCTTTTTTATTTATCTTTCCTCTATTCATTTGATGTCTACCTTCCAAGCAAATGTACCATATATTCCAGATCTCATAGTATTCTGTCTCCTCTTTGTTTTTAAGTTCCACTGACAACCTATCAATTTTGGCACATTCCAAAGTCTTCTTTATAATCGTAAAGTATTTTCACAGTTTTGGGCAAAGTCAATTCTTGCTGCTCTTAGTATATGGAGTATAATATATAGCATTTTTGCCATTTTTTTTGTTTTAAAATCCCTAATAAAAATATTTCTGGTTTCAATTATCTATCTTGGTGGGACGCTGGATTTTTGGATCAAGGGAGCCTGGGATTTGCAATCAGGATGCCAAAGGTGGTTAATCTGCCCTGGAGGCCACTAGAAGCACGCACAGCCTCCTGTGTTTGCACCAACCCATCCATGCCATGTGCAAAAAAAATGTGTCTCTTTGCAGAGTCTGGACCAATTTAGCTGACTGGTAAATTCCTGCTCAAGCCAACAGTTGGACTAGAAGATCTCTGTGAGTTCCCTTCCAACTCTGTAATTCAAGGTTTGCATTTTTCCAGCAAGGTCTTTCGCCTTTAACTTCAAAAACCATTGGTATGTTTTGTTGATGGCAGTTTTCAAGACTTATTTTGCGGGTCATTTGTGGAGATGAAAATCTGGATTAAAACTTTACAGGTTGACTCTCTGCCCTTAAAGCAATTTCAATCCCCAAGATAGGATTAGCATGCCATTAATAAAAACCCACCAGATTAGAAAATATCACTTTTTAGGAAATATTTTTGCGCCGGATTTCCCCGGATGTCCAGCAAGTGTAAGGTGGGCTGTGTTTTTGTTTTAAATACAGGTAGTCCTTGATTTACAGCCATTCATTTAGTGAGCATTTAAAGTTACAAGGGCTCCATCAAGGCTGAAGCATCCTTTTGCAGTCACAAGGATCACATCCCGCCCACACAGAAAAGGAAAAAAAATAAACTTCCAGCAAGATTCAGGCTGCAACATGGCTGCAGATGTTCCCAGCCACCCCAGTGGGCCACCCCCACACGCCTACCCCCAAGCTACGGCCATGCCACGTAGGCAAGGCCCAGCCTGGAAAAACGTGGAGACCAAGCGCATGATTATAATACAAGCTGTCGGGCAGGAAGAGGATGTTGAACAGAAATCAAAGCCCATTTATTTTATCCTCTTTTCCTCTCCCTCCTATTTCTGCAACCCGCCTTCACCGCAAAATTAAAAAGTCTTCGGGGTTAGTTCTGCTTATTTCAGCAAAAACGCAGCCCGCAGGGGAGGAATCTCACGAAGAATTTTCGAGAAATAATCTTTGTTTCTATTTTTGCAGAGCTGGGAAGGCTTTCTGTGTTTTTCTTCCCAACTTTGAAAGCTAAGAAACCTCACTTTAAAATCAAAATATCCGCATCGTTCTGATTTGCGGAATTTACTCTACAACTTTTGCTTGGTTTTTTTTTTCTCTTTTTTTCTTTCTTCCACTCTCCCCTTCTTTCCTTCCTTCCCATTTT